TCGATCCACCTTGCATAGGCCGTCTCCTCTCTTCCGAAATATTTGCTCCACCGCGATAACGGCGAGATGGACATTGGAGTTACAGCTCGTCGAGTTCGGGCTGCAGTCTCTCGATGCACGGTTCGAGTCGCTCATTTAAACTTCGTGTCAATGTATCTTGGTTTAGTGATTAGGATCTCGAATTTTTAGGGAGACAAACTTCTTTAGTTTGTCATACGATTGTCATCTGTGACATATGGAAATTATTATTGTGCAAAAATATAAAGAAGACCTAAATAAGAACTGTTTTGGAGCAGAAATAGGTACGTATAGCGTACGGCGGATATACGATAATCATCGTTTGTTATGTGCAATGTATTGCCATTTTTCGTATTTTTCCATGACAATGTGTCTTATTGTTCTCTTATCCACTTTCATGAATTTGTTCTATAAAGATAAGATGGTTTACATTCTCGTTTATCGCGATAACAATAATGTTATGGTGATCCACAGTCGCTGTCTTTTCAACGCGCGGTTTGGTCGAGTCCCTCCTTCGATTGTTAAAGTCTCTTTCAGGCAGACAAAATCACGCGATAAACGATAAATGACTGAGATAGGCACGAGAGACAAGTTTCTCCCCATTATTACCGGTTATTTTTCTCGGCGCGACTACGCACGTTCCGGCTTGTGCCTATGGAACGACCCGGTTTCGTCATCCTGACAGGTAGATGCCCGTATATCGCATAGCTCTTACGAACGTGGCTGGAACTGCTGGAAGAAATGTCGTGGGCGGGATGCTGAAGCGTCTTTACGATATTCGCAAAATAACGCGTTATCGCTGACTGACAACGATGATTAGGAATAATCCCTATTGTCTGGCGCGAACATTTGGAAATATATGACAATCGAGACTTGAAGAAAACGCGAAGAGAGAATAATTCTTGCAATTTACGCCCGCAAATGACTTTTACCGACGAAATTGTTCCACTTTGATAAGATGTGAGAAATGTAGTAAAAATTGCTTGTTGCTCGAGCATAGGTATATTTGTGTTTCATAGCTATCCAATGTAAATCTCAAAATCTGAAACATTCTATCGAGAATCATATCGTAAACATTTTTTTAAGTTTTTACATAATAAAATTAGAAGTTAAGAAACAGGTTGACTAAACGTATTATTGTTTGATGAAATACGTATTAAATTAATTTAAGTTTTTTAACTATTTATGAATAACGTTTTAGTTATCAAAATATCATGTCTAAAAAAGAAATGTACTGAAGGATGACAAAAATACATCGCGCGAATACATTAATGTTTTCTGTACTCTATGTCCGTTTCTCGAAATCAGATATAAAAATCCGAGGTTGTGGTTGTGGATACGGATATGTGACAATCGACAGATTGTTGCAAGGAGCAGAAAATGGTAGAATGGGATAATACATAACATGTCAGTAGGTAAAGAGTAGGCCAAGGTTGTGATCGCGCTTGTGAAACTTGCGAATTGCATCATTATACAAAAATTGCATATGTACGCTTTACACGATTTCCTAGTGCATTTTTAGAATTTTGACATAATTAAATACAGTTCTGACTTTGCTCCAAAGAATTTGAGAGTATTTAATAAGTCTCTTAAAAAGAGTTCAACATAAATAAGTATACAAAAATATGGGAGAATTATTTCATGTTTTTGTTATACGAAAATTTATCATTTTTCTATTTCAATCAGAATCAATCTGAATTCTAATTTTCGATTCTTGAAGCAGAACTCTTAAGAAAATGCCAAATTACCGAGCAAATTACCGATGAAAATTTTTATTCGCAGAATTTTACAACACTTTGAACCAATAATTGAAAAATTGCCGGAACCTTTATATTTTTTTTATCCATTTATGTGTTGAGAATAATTATTAGAACTTTTAGAGACCTAATTATTTCAAAGATTGGTGACAAATTTTTTATTTTATTGCTAATCATTAAGAATTCTATAAATCTTCGAGATAGAATTGGTTATACGATTATTTTGAAAACGTAATTTTATAATGATCTTTTTATGTGCTTTTCGGAATTAGGAGAAAAATATTTTTTTTTTTAATAAAGAGTGCCTAAGATATCCTCATCTTAATAACAGTTTTTTTATCGTTAGTAGATACGTTGCTTGAAAACGAAAAGTAAATAAATTTATTATAGCGGTCAAGAATCGAAATAGATTATTACAATAAATAAAGAGAAAATTATTTTACTAATAATTGGTATATATTTTACTTCAGTAAAAATTATCATTAAAACAGTAGCAGGTGCTAACGCAGATTCATTCATGTTATGCAGAATATAATGTTGCACAGAGGCAACTGCAATAGCGGCGCTCAACATTACGCGCTTTGCGCATTTACGTACCGCATACCGAGCGATTGCGGGTTAATTAATTGCCGCAATAAACGGTCAACGTGGCCCGCTAATTCGAGAGCATGCCCTCGCACTCGGTGTTATCGTTCTACTGATTAGGCTTACTCTTGGCGTTCTCGTAGCCCATGACCAGACAGAGATTCCTTCCGCGATTGCACGTTCGCAAAATTAAATGATATAAAACTATCTTCTAATTATTTTTATTATTATTAACCTGCATCCATTGAAAATTATACTTTAACGAAAATGTTGACTTGACAAAAGTCAGGGTTCTTTAAAATGGAATAGCACACGCAGTTGCAACACGAGTGAATGCGCTAGCACCGTTATCAGCGATAATTTAGAAATCTCAAAGTACTTTGTAAGGAATTTTACATTTCTTATCATCTTGCGATAATACGGTGGAATGTCTTATTTTATCTTGGATTTTGAGCAGTCTTAGTGAAATTTGCAATTGCAGTCGGTTTTTCCAACGAATGTCCATACAAAACAGTGCTCAATAAGCTTCTTGCTTCATATTAGAGACGATAAAATTGTTTCTATTTAAAATTTTATAAAAATTATTTCTTGGTATGTTTTCTTGATTTTCTTTTAGTTTATTTATTCATTTTTCTAAAATATAACGATTACAGTGGAGATTTTAATTTACGAAGGTCAGGAAAAGAAATTTTGTTAGTCATATGAGAGAGGCGAGAAATTTTCGACTTTTATTCGTACAAGATTTCGCTCAACATCGATTACTTAGATCTACTGTTGCTTTTTCTTCCATCTTGTGCTATTCTTCTGCAGCTATTGATTGATCGTTCGTGGAAACGATCGCTAATTCACACACACACACACACACACACACACACACACACACACACACACACACACACATTCATGGCGAGCGAATTAGACGGATATGTCGAGTATCGACACCGCCTGGCATAGTGTACACGTGGACTCTCGTTGCTGTTGCGTCGGCGTCGTCGCGACTCCGGATACGGGATAGACGAACGATTTATTAAAGCGCTATTCATCTCTACAAGGTATCTTTGTGACATGGCGGCGATGACTTTTGCGTGTTCGAGCTAGCCGGAGAATTTTTCGATTAGGTTGCAAACGCGTATCAAATGGACGAGTAGAAAGGGCGAAAATAAATTTGCGAAGTAGGGATTCTATGTATAAACTATAGAAAGAAAGATTCTGAAAAAAGCTAATCGAAGATCTTTAAATTAATCGTTAATTTTAAGTGAATGTTAATTATGTTAAATCATTGAAATAAAATTTGTAATTTTGTAACATTTTCTGCATTTGTGTGTTTGTGAAATTAAGTAGTCTATGGTTCTATATTAAATTAATTTTTTGCAGAAAACTTTAAAGAAAAATGTAAATAATTATGACATTTAGTAACATTTAACAGCCTATAGTGGTTCATTTTTTATTTGCACATTAAGTACATTAAATTTATTTTTTTGTTTGACCGTCATATATTAACTTAGAATTCTCAACTTTTTATTAGAAGAGTTAATAAAATTTTTCTTCAAAACTAACAGATTCTGTTTATAATATTTTTATTGAAATAATATTTGATAAAAGTTTCTACTTATTTATTAATTAAAATTTTCCATTTATTGATTTATCTACAAATAAAACATACGAAATTGTAATATAGTAGAAAAGTTAATAATAGTGAGCTAAATGGAATTTTTCTTATATAACAATCTTTCTTTTTAATCTTTCTTTCTAACGTAAATCGATTTGCAAATTGTTACAATATGGATCACGAATAGTTAGAGTGAATTAAAGTATTGAAATAGATATACATAGATGCATCATTGCAATATCGGTATCCCTGCTTCGAGACACTCGATCGCCCAACGGTTTATATTAAAAATTTGACTCGCATGGTTTGTAAAGGTGCCTCTGGTCTCCGTCTGACTGGCGATTTCTCGGATTAGCGATATATATTTTTGCTTCTCTTCGTTAAGCGCTCTTTGAAATAACTCTCCTGCGACTTTACGTGGTTTGATATATTACCGTCATTCTAAAGAAAAGAAAAGAGAAGGCGACGCGACGACGAACGCCGGGAAAATTGCGCGCGACCTCCGCGAGGCTTAAATATCCGTGTTGCAACGGCTCGCATATAAAACGCGACTCACGCACTAAGTACGCACGACGCGTTTTCAATGTCGCGGCACACGTGTATTACTCATCTACCTTATCCCTGCGTCTCGATATTCCGACGTACAGTTATTGCTAATCGACGGAAAATTTGCCCGAGAGCCGTTGCGATTTCACAGCACGTCACATTTTGTCCTTAATGTTTGAACACTTTACTTTTCTTCCTTTTGTATCTCTTGAGACGAGAGGGGGCCACGTTCACTCATCGATAATGTAGTGGCCCCATCTCGACCATGTAGAGATTCCTATGAAGCCCAAGTTGTAAAATAGACTTTTAGTACACAGCGGGCTCGCTCTTACGCCTCTTTGCAGTATATTTATATGGTAGATTTAGCGTTAACGGACTGATATTCTGTGCGATTTTTTTTTACTTGTGTAGTCCTTTTCCCTTTTATTTGTCAGTCGCGACGTGTTGTACCAATCTCTCTCTAGCATCTCTTTGGGCCCTTACAGATTGGTTCCCGAAGATGTGCTCCTGCCTCGACGGCAGCTCGACGCTGCCGAGTAATCGAGCCGCAAGCTACGAACGGCTTGGTTCCGATCTGACGATCTTTGAACTCAACAGCACGATACGAAGGAATCGAAGAAGTGATCAAGATTTGATTGATAGCGAAAGACAAGTATGTTCTAAAGTATCTTATGCTTAAATGCTTAAGTTTTACACTTTCTCGATTATACCTATAGTCAGAAAAATCGAGGAGATTAGATATAGATTAGTATATAAATTTTCATATTGTGTTTAATTTGTATACCTAAATTGAATTTATATTTATGTATAATATTATGATAAAAAATAAAAAGAAATATTTCAACTCATAAATAGGACAAAATAATTAAAGTATTATTTATAATTAACATTTAATGCAATTTTTCTCATATACGCCTTTATGAAATAAAAGTTTGTCATTGATATTAATTAATGCAAATTTATTTGATTACAAAATATATATAAGTTATATAAGACAAATATTTATAATTTATTTATGCATAGAGATAAATAAATTGAAAGAGGCTTATAAAAGAGAAGATTGCGAATTAATTTAATTCGATAAATTAATTCAATTGTGGATTGTATTCAATTCATTTGTATATTTAATGTCTTTTTAATGTTTGTTTAATTAGGAAGAATTGCGGTTTTACAACAATGATCATTCTTTTACAACCATGGTCGTAGAGAGAAATCTGCGAACGATCGATCTCTGCGAGTTGCTCAAAGTCAAGAGAAACACAATCGGCGCAGCCTGGTCGATAATCGAGACGTGGCCGAAACTGGGAATTGGTATGTAACATCATAAATATGACAATAAATCATATCGCAATTATGATTTACATATTGCGTTATATTTTCTATGCATCGCGCATCGTCGCGATTACTTCAAACGAGTTTATGCATTCCTTCAGATTTCTCGGGAATGTGGTTAACGATCAGTCAATAAGCAAGTCTTATGCACTTCTTTATCTTCATGATGCGAGTAGCGAGTAGCGTTGTGTCATTGACCATATTTTTAAAGTAAGCGCCAAAGTTTAAGTGATTACTCGCTAGGATGTTATTTACGGAATTATTTTTTAATGTCTTTAAAAAAATATATGAATATTCTGTACGCTTAATTATATGTATGATTTTATATTTATATCACACTGGAATGCATGCCCATACAATTCAAAGATATAGAAATATAATAAATGCGTATTCCCAAACATAATGGAATTCACATTAAACGGTTCATTCGATATCCGAATTGTTATCAGGTTTAACGATAACGTAGTTGGAGGCAAATATTATGCTTGAATAGAGAAGTACGCAGAATCGGTAGATATTTTTGAAGTATTTTGTGATTATTGCGTATTAAGAGATACGCTTAAGAGCTGTTTGGGAACTCGGTAATAAATAATTTATTTATAAAAATAATCGGTGCGCGTGTTCGGCGGATAATTCGTTAAAAGTTCGAGGCGTGCCAGGCCAAGGCGAAGTGACGCAATGAGCCTCTAATGCATCGGGAAAACTTCAGTCGTCTAAATTTTCTCTACGGCATTGACTCGGAACGAGATCGGAAATAACGTGTGCATGGTGAGAGGAAAAGGGAGAAGGGAGGAAAGGGGTTGGAGAGGCCGTAAAGACGGCACAGAGCTCTATAATGCAGCCGAGAATCAATAGCGGGCGAAACCTCCAGGAGCTTGGTGCAGGTCAGAGACGCGACTCGCGGCTGTGTCTCCGTACGAAATGTTTGTTTAGAGATCCGGGCGAAATGTCATGCTATTTCTAGACTAATGCGTTTTCCATGGAATTGTTTTACAAATTAATCACATGACGAGACGATCTGTACTAATTGTAGCCATAAAACTCGTTTTATTAGAATTTATAAAAATAAGTTTAAAAATTAATTTTGCTATAAAAAGGGCTAAATATTTTAAGATCGGTAACATTATGAAAGATGAAGCTAATTATTATTATTTATGATGCAATAGGTACAAAAAATATTCTTTTGAAATATCAATAAGAGTACTCAAATATTATTCTATTTTTTTTATCGTTGAATATATTGGTGTGTTGATAATAGCAACATAGCAATATATTTGGATGATAATGATAAATTGGATGAATTTTTTTTGTTACAGAGCGCACATTAGAAGACCACGAAGATATTCTCGCTGTTCATAGGGAATTGGAAATGTTCGCTTCCCAATACGAGAGGAGGTTCTACTTTAGCCAGGATTTCCTGAAATACGAAGTGTTCATCAAACCTATGGTAAGTGAAAAAATAGAGAATTTAGTTATCTCGCTGAAAAAAGCTGCTTCTCTAATTATTCATTTTTGAAGAAAACGTCAAAATCTTCAGAAAATAATAAAGTTATTGCGTTCTTCGTTACTTTTTACTACAGCGAATGGTAAATTCTGTTCAATCTAAGCGCGTTAACTTACCGACTGACTGAACTTACCAGCCAGGTTGCAGTTGCAGCATACATTTGCGAATATAAGTAACGATGAGGTATACTGTTTAAGATTGCCGACTCTAGGTAAATTTTCTCACCCTCGGTATTACCGACCAACCATTGACCATTCGATATAATTAATTATATTTATATTTGCTATATTAATTTTGCTTTTAATTTTATTTTGTATGTATAAATGCTCATACCGATAGTACATTATATTTTTACGTAACTACAATTTATATTTTCTGGATTTGAAACGTCGGCAATATTAGGCATCTTGAATTACCCCCAGATTTGGCTCGAGGCTTGATAGTCAAGAATTATAAATATATAATATATTAATATAATATGTTAATTCGGTCGACATTTTTTAATACCTTGTCGGTATCTATGTGAACGTCGTCGGTATCTATGAGAATGGTGTCGGTATCTATGTGAATGTTGTCGGTATGAGAATATTCCGCGAAATTTCCGGCAGATCTCTCGTTTACCGGCGAATCGTGTAGTTCTATGCAAAGAAAGATGTAGAGAGAGATGTTAAGGTGGCAGGAGAGACGCTCTTCCGATACCGGGAGCGGCGATGGGGTCTCAAGGATTCGGTAGTATTGATTGGAACATTCGTGTCCTGGGATTTTACAGGATTGAGCACGTAGCTCCGTTTTAAACTTAATACATCGAGATTGCGTAGGGAATGTAAATGATGACTAAACTAAAAGTTGAATGAAATTTTGCAGCTATCATTTTATTGAATCTCGTTAGAAAATGTTAATTTTGTGATATATAAAGAGATGCCGATCCATCAGTTTCAAAGATAGTTAGACTAATTAATATATTCGAACGGATATCAATTAGCAGTTTAGAAATTCAATCAGCTATAGGAGTTCATAAATCTTGTAGTCTCGCCGATGATTGGCCAATTAAAGGATAACGAGCGTAGAAACTTGGGAAATTGAACGTCGTAATCGACACTCTTCGGGGAAATCTTGAGACGTTTTCCTTCTCTTGTAACCGGGAGGGAGGCACTCTTTGCGCGTGAGTGTGCGAAGTATGAATGTTTGTGTTCCGTCCATTGAAATCTTTAAAAAGATTCTTAAGTAATACGTGTGTCTACCACTCCTCGTCGAAATACTTGAAGCACGAGAGATATTTATATTTTCTCGTTCCCGAAATATATTTTAGATCCAACTTTGCATCACTCTTTTCTCCGAGTCACTCTGGTTAATTTTAGAAACGATCCGAAATTCGGTTTCCTTCGTTTTCATATATAAAAAACGACAGTATGTAGACGTCTCTTTAATTTTTTTTTGCAGCAATTTTTTCCCGCGGACATGATCACGTTTCGCAGCGGGGAGGAAAGGGGCGCATTCACCGATGCCGAGAGCGCGCTAAGGGTGAGTACACGTGTGATTTCCTGATGCCGATGTGATCGTCACGAATGAAAACAGTGCTATAGCTGAGACGGCAAATGCATACGTTGCTCATGCTCACGTTGCAGAATTACCTGTTACGGGAGGACAGTGAGTGCCCGTACGTATTCAGCATGGTGTGGATGCGAAATGTGAGTTCGAACGGTTGGAAGAAGATGTACATGCTGCTCCAAGGCCGGAAACTCTACACAACGAAGAAGGTGAGTCCTTTTATCTCACGAGAACACCACGGATTGTATTCTCGTATTATCAATCCCCGATTCTTATTTCATATTTAATTCGACGTATGCGGTTTTGAATATGATACGAGTATACCTATACATATCGATAAGTTTCATGACGGAGCTATACGATTCTTTTCTTACCAAACATAGCTCCGAATATGAATTATGAGCTTTAAACGTTCCGCGGCGAAAGAATTACTCAGCGTTGTTAGCCACTCAATTCAAGCGCATTATCTACCATTTTGTGGCTACGGGTCTGACGTCTTAAAATACGAGAAGACGTCGTTACATAAAGAAATACTACTTCTCAATGTTAATAAGCGAACACATATTCAGCTTACGATGATTAATACGTTAACATGAAGTGACGGTGAGTTTCTCTTCTTTCCTACGCTCGATTATCTTTATGCGATCGCAGTAGAAAATGCAATCTCGCGACGGAGATCGGGTTCTTACTGACTCATCGTCGGTGAAACGTTCTTTAAAGACCAAGTAAGCGATTCCTAGACGATAAACGATCGTCAGGCTCTCTATGTGCATCGGCGCGCGTAGTTCTCGCAGGTGTTAACACTTTTCTCAAGGACTTTGCGGTGCCGTCCGTTATGGATGAGTCACGACACATCGCTGGCAATTTATTTGTAAGTCATTAAGAGACATTAACATGTAACAGCTGGGACACTTTTGTAGCAAAAGGTATGACAACACGAAAGACAACGCTGCAATCTTTTTTACGACTGAAGTAAAGGGGACAGCTTTTTATTCATAAAAATTTCACCTTGCACAAATGCGACATGAAATTCGAGTATAAAATTTTGGTAATGGTTTAACGTTAATGTTTATTTCATTCGGTTTGCGATACGATGCAATAATTTGCGTAAAAGGGGCCAGAACTCGGAACCGGCTGACGAGAGACAATGTTGCTCTCGCCTCACGTCCGCGAAATTGTCCCACGATGTATCGGTTCGACGGTAATGCTGATCCGACTCAGCCATCAAGCCAATTCATTTACATAATTAACATCATGCGATACGACGGCAACGCCTTCGTAGCTCATTCGATAACCGATACGCGAAGCGAAAGGCAGTCATTTTCGAGATAACTAGCGGCTAGTTGATGTACTCGGTCAACTCGGCGAATTCCGAATTCAGTCCGTAGGCGCGGTTTGTTTTAAAATTAATTTTATTCGATTATCGATTCCGCGCCGCGCGCGTATACAAGCGGTAGCTCGCCGTTAAAACTGACGCGTCGAATGGTCGTTTGGCGAACGCGCTTCCGAGTCGCGCGTCATTAATCGCCCCGCAGTAAAGCCAGAATCATATCGGCGAGCGAGCGATTATCCGAAATATCACGCGGATCCTATAAAGAAAAAAATTCCATTTGTCACGCACGCGTAAAATGTCGAGTGAGTTACGACCGCGATCGCTTTACGGCTGGTGATACATCTAGTTAAATAACGATAGCGCGACGAATAATTACAGACGCACTCGTGTACATAGTCCGCACCGATCGCTCGTGAAATATTATCGCTGAATATTCTACCGTTATCGTACATGAGTGCTCCGGTTTACACATTTATTAAGCGATACATGCGCCATTCAACGAACGTACTTAATGTGATTTCCGTCACTCAGTCTTATCTGGAGTGCAAACCAATATTTATTTCCGGTGAAGAATGTGACGGCTCTATTTTACGTAGATTTATCTTCCTTTCTCATTATAACTGTGGAGCTCTCTAAAGGGGAGTTTGTGAATTAATGGCCGATATTGTACAGCCGCTGTAATTATCGACAAGAATCCTTTCGCAAGGTATACACGCGAGAATGCGGCTCTTCTTCTCCCTTTTGTTCTCCGCGTCGCGCCGCCGCGCCGCGCCGAGAACCAGCTTAAAATGCAAGTTGATTGGCTTCGCGCCCGCCGCTGGCGCGTAAGAACATGATTTAATTATTTCAAGCTTCACCGCTTCCGGCGATACCGGTATCAGCGGCTAATATCTCGTCGGACGAAAGCGTCGTTCCGTAAAAAGCTACGACTCGCCGCCATTGTTCCGCCGCTTCGCTCCGACACCTCGGGACAAGACCACAAGTACGTCATTATTACGACATGATTGGTAAAAAAAAGAGATGAGGCTTACGTAATAACACGGGCATGACGAACCGCGGTGTGCTCTGATGAGGCCGCTCACGAGGATCGATTCGTGAGCTTATCGATCCTCGATTACGGCTATCATCACATACACGTCCCGTGAGTTTCGCAGCTTTCTGCGAATCGGATTTTTCTCGCAGATACGGTTTCTCATCGCGCGTTCCATGACGTTCCTCTCAAATATTCTTTTCAATCCGACGTTTCGACATCGCCTTACCCCTCTGGCGATCTCCTTTCTGCCTCGAAGTCTGTAGGAGTTTATTTCTAAAAGTTTATTTCAAGTTGAAATTTTCTGAGATATTCAGCGGATTCAGCCTGTTCGGGAATGAGGGTTAATTGCTCTTGGAAAGTTTCTCGATTATATCTTCTTTCTCGATCAAAACCCGGGAGCCTCGCGATATGCTCGCGATTACTTGTCTTTCCGTCTCTCTTTATCGCGCGTACTCGATCAATTATATTCGCGTAAAAAAATTGCTTTTTCCGTCAATTTTTTTCGACGATCATCATCGTTCTTTCGGCAAATCGGATCGAGGCAAGCGAGCGCGAATAAACACGAATGAATAACTTGCTTCAATGAATGTGCCATCATACTGACGATTGTTCGTTCAAGTTTGCTCGCGTTCGCTCGCTTGATCTGGATCTGGCTTTAAGGGATCGCGATGTGAACGCTAGCCATTCGCACATGCGGAGCGTATCGGGCATTGTATGGATATTCGCGCGCGCGCTCAATGCAGTCGCAAATTATATCGCACGCATACGGAATTCCATTGTTCTTGAAATAATTGTCTTATTCGTTATTTCTAATCCGACGATGTAGAATCAGCCAAGAGAAGCGCGATGCGAAACAACGTTGTGCTCTCTTCTAAGAATTTTATTCATTTTTCTACATCTTTGCGAACTCTTTAAAAGAACTTCGATTTTAAAAGCAAGAAGAAAGACGAAGTAAAAAGGACACAATCCGAATAAGGAGCGCGGGTAGTTTCTCGTGGACGCGTGAAGGATGTTAAGCGTTAGGAAACGAACGAGGAAAGGGACTCCACGGGCGAGGTAATGGAGAAGAACGCGACAATTGTGCGAGAGCGAGCCGAGGGAGTGCGAGAGTGTAGGTACCGATGCTAAATAATACGGCTTTGGGGGTGCCGTGAATAATCCTTACTAAACCTTAGCATTCGCACCGCTATTTCGGTCCTCCCGGTCCGGAATAATTTATGAACTCCTACCGCAACGGCCTTATCTCGAGCCAGCTGAAACTCCCGGACACAGTATATATCCGCTTCCTCTTAATTTCTAGCTCGCGCACTCCCGTTTCTCGGGGGAGATGTCATCGAGAGACCTTACCGAGGCTTTTACGTTAGGGCATCTTTTACGATGGTCGTTCGGAACGCGTCGGACAAGCGGGACAAGTCTTGTTTATTGTTCTTCGTGGACGGCAACGTATCAATGGGAGTGCCGCATGTAATATGCAGATTCAATATACGTTGATGCACTTTGGGGGCTTTGAATAAGTTTACGTGTTTTTATTGTGTTTTTGTCGCGTGTACGACTTTAGAGATATCGATTTGTCTTCTGTCCACTTTATACTCATTAGATTAGCGCGGTTGCATAAATGCTATAGAGTTACAGGGATTATTCCAAATGTCATTTCTGGATAAAAATTTAATTGACCGTTTAAGAAAATTAACTTTTGCTTTGCTCAAGCACGTCAATAAATCATTAGCATCAGATCTCACAGGAAATAACCATGAACCCCCATATTACATAGTTACATCTGTTATATCTATAAATTGTATAAATTGCTTGTATTGAATAGGAACTGACATTTATGTCTGACTTATTGAAAGTCGCGCCGACGTCCGTTTTTATTGCGAGGTAACTTTCGCCACCCCGATGCATTTATCCTCCGGCCTTACCCCCGCGGAGCCCGATCTCGTCCCCGCTAACCCCCTTTTTCATTTCCTCCCTCGCAACAGCGGGCGTGGCCCCGTTATCGCGGAAACGTACCCGCGACGGCAGGATAATTCTTCGTCCGCTACGTACGATCAATTTTATCGGCAAAAAACTTTCGAGCGAGGACGATCCGGGAGAGAAAAATTGCGCGCGTTTTCTCGTAGAAATATAAATACTCTTTCGCGCTGGCTATCGGTGAGCTAAACGAGTTTCGTTACTTAACATAATTGCCGTGCAACTGCCGCGAAGACGTGTTTCGCACGCGAATCGACAAACGGGAAAGTAAAATTGCCAGCGAGGTGGCAAGGGGGGCGGGATCGTATTTTACGACCGCGACGGTCCACTCTTCCAATTTGTCTTTACTTTCCTCTGTAAATTTATCGTAAGTACGGTAATTGCATTAACACGTGATCCGCAGTGTGCCGTTAAGTTTCGAAGGAAATGGCCAATCGTATATATAGCGATCCCTGGAAAAATATCGCGAGTGTCGCATCACTTTTTCCAATATCATTAGGAATTAGCTGGAGCATTAATTTGGCAAAATATTTGATAACAAGACTGTCGAGGAAAGAGAGAGAGAGAGAGAGAGAGAGGGATAAGAAAAAACTAAGGCTAAATTATTTATTTTTGGATTAATTTTTTCATGCTGTAACACATATGTTTCGCTATTCGCCACAACTTTTTTTATTCGAGTTTCATGCAATAACACCTGCGGTAGACAATGTAATGGGATAGCTAATCCTCAGGGCATTCCCTCGCCGCCGTCAACCCGATCGACGTCACAGAGCGAGCCTTGACGCTGTCAATCTCGATTTACACGTAATACCATCCGCGCGCGAATGCGCGTCGAGAACGAGCCGATGCGATGGATAATTTCGATCAACCGA